CTCCATAACCTCCCATGTGGGTCACTGTTCTCTATTAGTGCTGTTGCGAGCACAGAAGCAGGACGCAGCTTGCCTAGTTACAGCGTCCCTTTAGAGACAGGTAAGTTACACCTGACCAGAGATGTTATTATTTACCATGCATGCATCAGTTCAATTGTATGACAGGTAGAGAATGGAGGTAGAGAGATGAGTCTCTATCTGAGGCTGCCTGTTGGGCTGGGCTGAAGTTTAAACTGATCTCCTCTATGCAACATTGCCATTGGTTGCTCAAATGTGTTGGGGGGAAAAGAGACCTTGCTATTCTCCCAGCACATCAACAAAGCAGATGGTGCAGATGTTTGGATGAATATACAGTGGGGAACCAAGCCAGCTGGAACCACCTCTTCTGATGTCAAACTTAGCACACTTATTGGATAACACATTTGCAAAGGTGCTTATTCATGTAGAGCTTGATGTGGATAGGCCCCTTTGTATGGCCATTGTGTACCACAATGATTCAGGTCCACATACCCTAGACTCTATACCAATACCACTCTATAAAAATCAGGTCTACATACCCTGGACTCTATACCAATACCACTCTATAAAAATCTAGGCATTGAAGCCTGTGATCCATCAGAAGAAGACACTTGTGTGTCTCCCATTTCCTGGACCCCCAGCAGTGCTTTCTAATCACATAAAAGTTAGGCCCAGGACTGTGGGACCTCTGTGGATTAAAAGACACACAGGTCAGGAGCAATGTTCCCTCTAAGCTATGGAGCCCTGTGAGCAAAAACTCTACTTTGTGAGCTACTGGCATTAAAGTTGTGAGCAGGAGATTTGGCTGCTGCATAAATTAGTTTGCTCTGGAGCCATCCTTCCTGAACTAGGGCAAACATGTGTGAGCCGGAGGCTAAAAAACTGTGAGCTAGCTCACACTAACTCAGCTTAGAGGGAACACTGGTCAGGAGGCAACAATGGGAAAGGGACAAAATCACCCTTCCTACCTCTCCCAGCAGTAGAGCTCCACCAATGGAAGAGGAAGAGATTTGCCTTCCCAGTGTTTCTCATTGATCTGCATGCTGTTATTCCATGTAGGGCTTACGCCTGGAGGAGTAAACTTTCCTGGGGTCAGAATTGGCTGTTGAGCAGAGGGCAAAGGAAGGAAGCTGCCCTACGCCTGATTTGGGAGGGAGGGCAGGGTATAAATCAAATAAATAAATAAATAATAAGATCCACTGTCCTTACAGTGGACCCAACCTAATGTCCAGTGCACCAGATGCTGTAGTGAGTAGTGGATGATTGGTCACAATCTTGGTTCCCACTACTGACTGTCTTAAGTTAGAAAGAAAAATAGAAAATAATGTGGGGAAAGTGCGCTTGCTTAAAAATTAGAGCGGCAGATGTATCAATTAAAGTTTGTACTGATTAATTTATGGAGACAAATTTTAGTAAGTGGGGATGAGTCAAGGGTTGATATGCAGCTGGTGTTACGATAGAGATTTTTTTTTAAAAAGGACTGTTAAACATGGGCTATCCTAAAAATAATAACTTTGTGTTGGATCCAGACTAAATTTTCCACTCATGCAAGGCACTTTTAAGTGGAACAAAATGCACCCCCCTCCCGCAGCTCACCGATTGCTCCTGGGGGGCAGGGTCCCCAGAAACAGCATGAGAGGCAAATCAGGAGTCGTGAGGAGGAAGGGGAAATTGGTGAAAATTTCATTTGGATCCAACAAGTCATTTAATAAACCAAAGCTATTGATCAAAAGTGAGATTATTTATGAACGATCATTAATTAACCAGTGAACAGTCCTACTAAAACTCAAAAAGAGGAATGAGCAATTATAGGGAGAGCTGATATAGAGCAAAGGTCAAGTAGTGTTTTATGAATCAGGAAGTCCCTGCAAACTAATTAGGTAGTCTTAAGCAAGCCACTCTCTCTCAGATCTCACTTGACCTATGTAGATAAAATTGTCCCTCCTTAAAGGGCTGTTGTAAAGATTACAAGAAAATATATCTGACATGTTTGTGCTCTTTGAAGATGTTCAACTGCAAAGTATTATTGGGGGTAGCTAGATATGGAGGCCTCTTTCTAGACTGCTTGCTTGCAGGCTTTCTGGTTGACCACTATGGGAAACAGGAGGCTGGACTAGATAGACCATCGTTCTGATCCACCACTGTACTTCTCTTGTGTGACAAGTAGAGGTATGCATAAAGATATACCTAAACTGATGATATACATGGAAAATACTGTTTTGGATCATGACCATGATGTCCTGGAATGGTATTAGGAATCTGGGATTCTTAGTAAAATGAATTTACTCTCCCTGAAGACGTCTGTGTTGGTTTTGACTTTGGGTGCTGCTAGAGGGCAACATTATGTGCGTATGTTCTTCCTCAATTACACTGATTTCTTGAGCAATGGCATTTCTCCCTTCCAATTGGATCCTTGCAAGGGAGGAGCACAGAACATTTCCAGCCAATCATCTTTGGAGATGAGCCATGGAAAGACACAGTACCCTTTCCCTCCTTTCTTTTTTTTGGGGGGAGGGGAG